GTTGTTGTTGTCGTTGTTGTTGTCGTTGTTGTTGTTGTTGTTGTCGTTGTTGTTGTCGTTGTTGTTGTCGTTGTTGTTGTAGTTGTTGTTGTCGTTGTTGTCGTTGTTGTTGTTGTCTTTTTCCTTCGTTTCGTGCTCCCTATCTCTTGCTTTGTTTGTATCTTTCTTCCTTTCTTCCTTGCTTCTTCCTTTTGTTGTCTATTTTGTATTTTCCTCATTCTATAGATCTTATTGCACACTTGCGGAGGGTTATAAATCACTAAAGTCCTTTTTCATAATGTGTATACGTATTTCTTTTCTGACAGTAACACAAATACCCAGTCTCGTATCTGACGTTTACAATGATCGAAGAAGAAAGAGATTAAGAAATCGCTGGGCTCTTTTCCTGACTTTGAGCAATAACCCAGGCCTCATAAAAGAGCGAAAATACGAAAAATTCGTCCACAAATCTCCTCTGGCAGCCTTGGGCGTTTTAGTCAATGATTTTCAATCTCATTTGCCAGGACAGCTTGAACCAGTAAACAGCATGCACTCTGACCTCGTTTTACGCAATGGTGGAGTAGATGAATATCAGGAAGAAAAAATGTTAGTGCAGACTTCAAAAGTATAAAATGACTTTTATCTGACAAGATAACTGTATTTAAAAATTATATTAGGGCCACTATTTTCCATGCTTATTCAAGGGGGCGAAGGGGCTCATATGTGTAAAGCGCACGAAGGTGCGCACTTTATCCCCTCACACTATCAGTGCATGCTTGCGATTGTTTAAAGCTAAAGCTACTCAGAACAGAAAGAAAACGAAACAGAGATGGAGATCAACAATTTTATTTGTTTATTTGTACAAGGTTTTTTGATGGTGTTTTAGGGGTGGGGTGGGAGGGGGGGTTACAATTATTTTAAGAAAAAAGAAGTAATAATGAAGGGCGCCAACATTTTTTCTGTACGGCAAGAAAGGGCCTCTTAAAAATATGCAGTTCGAAGGTAAAATCCACCAGCCCTCCCCCCTTAATTAAAGACCGGCAAGTCCCTCACATATATTAAGTTAAAGCAATCTAGAAGAAAGATAACCCTCCTAATTATGAGCCTCTTTGCTAGACCCATAGTACTACTTCTCACTGATACATATATATATCAAGGCAGTTCGTTTGATATTTTTGCCGATGATTTTCTATTCTTTTTATAGTCTTACACGTAATAACTTGCTTATAGATCATGCGAATTATTTGTTAAACCATGCGATAACACTTCAATTGTCAATAATCCACTTTCGATATCTTATTAAAATCAAACTTGATTGCAAAGCTTTACTGGTATTGTACCCCATATATGTTATATAAACAGGAGATCACCATTYAAATACATTTATTTTTTTCGTATATTTCGGCAATAACGAGAAAATTTTGGTAAAAATGCTAGTCCTTATTCAACGTCATATTCAAATCTGCAGCACTAGAATTTTAATATCGAACGTGGCCTGATAAAGTTTTATCTATTATTTGGTTTATAATCACCAGTCGCGGTATTTTCACATAAACACTATTTAGTATAAAAAGGGTTTAATTTTGATTCTACCAGCATGAAATAATTAACGGGACGAAATCAAATATTTGATCGATAAATTTTAGCCAATCGGGTAAAAGCGTACTGAAGAAGGTACTCAAGAAAATGGCCCAGAAAATGGCTTTTGCAATCACATAACTAATTCAAAAACATCACGGTCAGAATCGCACGCTTAAAGAATTCTGAATCGCATCAAGTGTGTCTGCATCTAAGGAACTATAATTACAAAATAGAGTGTAATAATTTTTGAGTGCAAAAAGGTAGCGCAATCTGAATAGAATAGATAGCGTGACGCTCTCTCTCAGCCTTACTTTCATTCACTAAGGCATTCGAATCGGTCATAATTTTTTTAGCTGATTAAGCGCCAATATAAAGGTAACAGGATATTATTCTTGTTGTATTTCTATACGTTTATCTTCGAGGCCAATGAAGCACGGAAAAGCTTAGCCTGATCTACAAAAGTATTCCTCGTCTTTAATACGATGGTTTTATTGGTCGCCACTCAAAACAAGACACTCCTTGACGATGTCGCGAAGAGTTGCTGGAATTTCCTTTCTCTTCAAGCCACATCGGGGATCAACAACGAAACATTAAAGGCCATGGTACGAACCTTTTTATTGATGAAACAGTCTCTGAATTCTAGCAAAAGGGACGATACGCCAACGTTCAATCGGTAAGTAATCTTTCTATCAGTCATACATGTTAAATTCGTTTTAAAAAGCAAAATGGCTTTTGTGTGTGACTTGTTGGTAATGATAGACGTCAGACCATACGAACTTTGCCTGTCGACTCAGAATTATTGAAGTGGTAATAAGCTTCTTTTTACTGTTTTGTGAACACATCTACTGGCCCTAGCTAAATGAGAAATGCCATCTCTTCGACTCGGCCTGAAGTCAAAACAAGATATTTTATTTAATAAGAAAAACTATATCGGATTTGAATTTCAGACACCTGTCTTGAAGCCACAATTCATCAGTGTAAATTTATGTATATTTGTTGTATTCATCAACCAGGGAATGTGGTTTAATTGAAAATTGACAGTCTTCCTGACTACTGAAACTTCATGTCACAATTTTTTGAAATACTTTTTTCGAATCGCGTAGCACTAGAGTGTAATCGATATATATGCAAAGGTGTTGTAGTGTTAAAGAAACCCAGCAACTATCATATTTCGAAAACTGCACCAGTACTTAGAATAGCGCGACGCAACCGTGACGTCATAAATTCGGACAAACAAACTTGCAAGTTTACTTTCAGCAGATAATTTTCACAGCCGATCGCAGTTGATCTTAGTTAAAATGGGTTATTATTGTAACTTTAAGTAAAAATAATAAAATCGGTTCGTATAATCCTCGTAGCGGTTAAACAGAATGCAATGTTTGTCCGAATCTTTAAGCTATTTTTAGAATCAGTGCGCTGCGCTATTGAATAAGTCCGCGATAATAAAAAAAACACCTAACATACCTATCTATTATATCTAAGGGGCTAATAAATGTTTCAAATACGAATATATTAGTTTGCTTGTGTGTGTGTGTGTGTGTGTGTGTGTGAAATGTCTCTTGTTTTATGTATAATAATTCGTCTTGTGAATGTGTTAGGACAAGGAACTGGGTTCCCAGTTATTTACTCGGCAAGGGAGAGATTACTACATTTTTCATTCTGCCATCTGTAAGTATATGATGTTGTCGAAGTAAGTATAACGTGAAAAGACATGCTAAAATATCTCGCTAATAAAGAGGACAATATAGAGCGCGCCTTTGCAGCTCAGTAATCCAAAATTTGCTCTTTAGTACAGACACGTGACCGTTAACTGCAAAGGGCTTATATTTGTGAATCATAACTAATCGAGGTAGCATCCCTGAAACAGCATATACTAAAAGTTAGCAAACGATAAATAAATGCATAAACATGGAGAAAGACTGATGCAGAAAGAAACAGAGGGTCAGGTCAAACGTAGAACTTCACATTAGGTTCGGCTCATCTGAGGTACGACGTTTGACTTGAGCCAGAGACAGAAGGAAAGACAGACAAACGCGATGTCATAAATGTCCTGCATGATAAGTTCAACCAATATCTTATTTATTTATAAATTATCACGTCAGTCATATTGCATAGTCCTCGAAATATTACAACTCTACATCAGAAACACTATAATTTTCCTCATATCATTGACAGCTTATGATTATCATACTATTCTCAATTCTGACGAAACGAAATCATGACAAAAAAGCCTGTGGAGTCTTCGGTAGAAGACCAGGATTGTGTATGTAAGTATATATAAGCTTTTAAGTAACAATTATATGACAAATTAAACCATTTTTCATTTGAACATTTTACTGGCCTGACCACTAAAAAAATGTTAAGAATGAACAAACATTCGAGTTCATTTTATGACTTCTGTAAGACTGTCTTGTGCTTATCGTTATCCCCCCTCCCCCCGTGGCTAAACTGACCAAAAAACAATTACTGAGAAAGCCGGCAAAACGGGTTAAAAAAAAATTCAACTCGAGTGATCAACAGTCGTGTGTTTTTTTAAAGTACTTTCTTGCTACAATATTATTTGATATTGCCACAAGTGACAAGAAAGGCGGCTAAACGTACGGGTTTAAAAAAAAACTTTATAAAGACTTAAATAATCGAGATTATTCCGGGTGTCACTAGCCAATTTTATTTTATTTTATTTATTTTTTCACGCCGGGCGTAAAATTTTTGCTAAACTTATCCTGTGTTTCTTATAGATTATCCATATATGATTTCCAGCGAGTATATTATTCCATCCAACAATAATGATGGTGTATGCATTTCCAATAGTAGTATTTTCATAAAGGTTTTCATTTCAAACTGTAGTAGGAAACATTAACTGGGCTGCCTGTGGTGTGTATACAACATCGTTTATATGGCCACTGTTATTTTTCACACAGTCCAATAAATCTTGTAGACAGCTATGAAAATCGCATTGGTTACGCGTGTGCATTTGGTGTTACTGCTTCCAAGTGCTTGGATATTCTATTGTTCGGTGACTACCACACGGTTTTCGAGGGAAGTATGCATATTTTGCAGATGGACAATCAAGGAAAGGCAACATGGACTACAGGTATAACTTATTTCAGTAACCAATGACCTCTCAACACTCATTAATATATGTTTGCAAAGGGATTATTAGAGTGGATCCAGAAATTGGGGGGAAAGGGTACCTAAAATATGAAACTTAATACTAAGCATATAAAAGTATCACACGTGTCTAGAAAGAGAAATTAACACTATCACTAGGAACAACCAAGACACTAACTACATATAGTACCAAAAAAAGAACAACAGTGGATCTTGGTTTAAAATCGGTCAGATTGTCTATATATTATTGAAAAAGTTATAAATAAAATGATAATAATATCAGTAATCAGTAACTCTAGGTTACTGTTAAACGTCCTGGCCCTACAGTCTTTGAATATACTTATATCCTGCAAATAACATGTATATTTTCTCAAATTGCAGTGTTGTGGAACTTAATGGCCATGTTGATTATTGGCTTGGCATACTACCCAATGTTTCTCTGCTTGTCAACGGATTACACATTGTTGGGGGGAATCATTGGTTTTGTCTATACTGGCTTTTGGTAGGTTTGCGACATCAAGCGCGTATTATGATATGGTCCAAGCAGCAGTAAGGGGGACTCGCGAATCGCCGGCAGGGGTCAAAAAGAGGCCCAGCCCCCCCTGGGCTTTTTCGGGTTTTACAAGGCCCTACAGGGGGTCTTGCGCGATCGGGTGGCAGCGCGAAAAGTCCCTTACTGCTGCTCTGTTGGGTACTGCAAACGGAGGTTAAAATATTCC